GGGTTCGAGCCCCGCATCGGGCTCTGTGCTGACAGCCACCTCAGAGCCTGGAGGCTGCTTTCAGATTCTGTGTCTCCCTCTCTCTTTGACCCTCCCCTGCTCACGCTCTCTCTCTCTCTCTCAGAAATAAAAAATTAAAAACATAAAATAAAATAATAAAGGCACAGCCCAGTCCCTCTCTGCTTCCCGACCCTGCGTGTGACAAGCTTCATGTGGTCCCATGTCACAGGTTGTGTCTCTTGTTTCTGGCAGAACTGAATTAAAAACCTTCTTTCTCGGTGGCATTGACCTCCCCGTGTTGCCACTCAATCAACTTCGTAACTTTAGACCTGACACAACTCTGCCTACCAACTGCCCCCCACTCAGCCCCCAACCCAACAGGTCTCACCTCCCTGCCAGCCTGCGAACTCATCCAGACAGGCTGGACACGTCCTCCTGTGGGAGCCCAGGGTCACCGTACCTCGTCACTACGAAACCCGCCTACCACGGCCCCTGCTGGTCCGCTCCGTTCCTAAGCGCCACCCCTGTATGGCCCTGCAGGGCACGCAGTGTCCCTCCCCCCAAGGCTGCGGGAAAGCTGCCGCCCATCTCGCCTACCCGGTGTCACGTGTCACGCATTCAGCCAGCTCACCCTACTTGGGATGGGGACTCTCCTTCCTACGCCGTGTGAACAGGGAGTGACCAGAACAGCATCGAGTTCCCGAATGTGATTTTGCTAGGACCAAAGTTTGAGAACCACTGTACTGTCCAAGGGCACCCAGAAAGTCAAGGGCAGGGTGAGACCTGGCACGCGGGCCTTGTGATTCCCAAACCCTGCTTCTCTCCGTTGTAAGAAGCCCCGGCAGGCAAACCCCAGAGTGAAAATGGAGGTTCTATTGAAATCAGTTCCGCCCAACAGAAACAGAATCCAAGCTCCTTGTGCAATTGATTAAAAAAAAATTTTTTTAACATTTATTTATTTATTTTTGAGAGCGAGCGAGAGAGAGCAGGGGAGAGGCAGAGAGAGGGAGCCAGAATCCCAAGCAGGTTCCTGGGGCCTGAACTCACAAACTGTGGGATCATGACCTGGGCTGAAATCAAGATGCTTAACCACCTGAGCCACCGGGGGAACCCCCTTGTGTAATTTAAATGTTTCTAGCAGCCACGTTAAAAAATATAAGAAGCAAATGGGCTTAATTTCGACAGTATGTTTTATGTAACCCAATATATCCAAAATATTACCACTTGAACCTGCAATCAGTATGAGTTCCTGAGCCGTTTTACGTTCTTGTTTTCATACTAGTCTTTGAAATGCATGTTGTGTCTTGCATTTAACAGCACATCTCAGTAGACATATTTCAAGCGCTCAACTGTCCCATGGGCCTGATGGCTGCCATATTGGATAGTGTAGACTTGAACCTTTCTAAAACAACATATAACCATCCCCCAGGGACTCTCTAGTTCAAAAGACAGCAGCTGAGTGTTAGCTGGAAGTTTAACCAATGGTTATTAGAGAAACTAACCATTTCTGTTCAACTGAATGATAGAACTGAAGTAATGAAAGCAGAAGGTGCGTGGAAAAAAAGAATATCTTAAAATCTCCTTTTGCCCTTTCAGTCACTGGCTGCATTTCCCATGCTGTATAGTCATTTATAATAGGAAAAGACAACTCGAGTTAATAACACATGGAGGACTTACAATATGCCAAGCACTATTTCAAGCACTTTAATAGCATAGCTCTTTTAAGTTTTTAATTAAAAAAATGTTTTAATGTTTTTTTTTTAATGTTTTATTTATTTCTAGGAAAGAGAGAGACAGCGTGAGCAGGGGAGGGTCAGAGAGAGAGGGAGTCACAGACTGAAACAGGCTCCAGGCTCTGAGCTGGCAGTCAGCACAGAGCCCGACGCGGGGCTCAAACCCACGAACCGCGAGATCATGACCTAAGCGAAAGTCGGACGTTCAACCGACTAAGCCACCCAGACGCCCCTATTTTAAAGTTTTTTTAATGCATTTCTTTTTTTTTTTTTAATATTTATTTCTGAGAGAGAGAGAGAGAGAGTGAGCAGGGGAGGGTCAGAGAGAGAGGGAGACACAGAATCTGAAGGGGGCTCCAGGCTCTGAGCCAGCTGTCAGCACAGAACCCAACACGGGGCTCGAATCCACAAACCGTGAGATTGTGACCTGAGCCGAAGTCGGACGCTTAACCGACTGAGCCGCCCAGGTGCCCCAAAAATGTTTTAATGTTTATTTGGGGGGGGGGAGAGAGAGAGAGAGAGAGAGAGAACTTTAGCAGGGGAGGGGAAGAGAGAGAGGGAGACAGAGAATGTAAAGCAGGCTCTACCCTATCACCCCAAAGCCTGATGTGGGGCTCGAACTCAACAACCATGAGATCATGACCTGAGTTGAAGTCAGATGCTCAACTGACTGAACCACCCAGGCGCCCCCTTTCTTTTAATTTTAGAGAGAAAGAGCATGAGAGAGAACAAGCAGGAGAGAGGGAGAGAGAGAGAATCTCAAGCAGGCTTCACACTCGGCACAGAGGCCAACACAGGGCTCGATCCCACAACCCTGCGGTCATGATATGAGCCAAAATCAAGAGTCTGACGCTAAACCAACTGAGCCCCCGAGGGCCCCCACACAGATAGCTCTTTTAATCTTCACAAAAGCTTTAGGAGGAAGGTACTGCTGTCCCTAATGGACTGGTAAGAAAAGTGAGGCACAGGGAAGTTAAATAAAGTGCCCAGCGTTATCCAGTCACGGAGTGCCAGAGCTGGGTTTCAAACCTCGCTGCTGAAGTGTGACCCTGGTTCTGCTTCCTGCCGACTGTGCCACCAGGTCATTTATTCCACTGTCTCTGCCTGTCTCTTCATCATTAAAATGTGAATCATAATGATGGCTTGTTGTGAAAAATAAATGGGTTAGCGCATGCAAAGCATTAGAAATTCTCCAAGTCATCAGAGGTGCTCAACAAATGTTAGCTATTCTAATCATCCCCATTATGATCTCCATGCAGTAAACAAAAACCAAAACAGTAACATTGATTTGTTTCTAAGGAAATTCGTTTTAGATCATGACATATTATGCAAAAGTGTACATCAACTTCTGCATACTCTGAGAAAGTCGGTGTATTCTACGGCCCACCCCAAGTGAGATAAAAGACAATGAATGTGGATATAGATTATCTTTTTTTTTTTTTAATTTCTGAGAGAGAAAGAGAGAGAGAGAGAGAGACAGCGTGAGCAGGGGAGGGTGAGAGAGAGAGGGAGTCACAGAATCTGAAGCAGGCTCCAGGCTCTGAGCTAGCTGTCAGCACAGAGCCTGCCACAGGGCCCGAACCCACAAACCGCGAGAACATGACCTGAGCCAAAGTCGGACATTTAACCGACTGAGCCACCCAGGCGCCCCTTTATGAGTTATTCTTCATGTTTTATATATTCTATATTTTCTGAATTCCCTACAATAAGTGTTCATATTTTCTTCTTCTTTTTAAGTTTATTTATTCTTCTTCTTTTTTTTTTAAGTTTATTTATTCATTTTGAGAGAGAGAGAATGAGCAGGGGAGGGGCAGAGAGAGAGGGGGACAGAAAATCTGAAGCAGGCTCCCTGCTGTCAGCAGAGAGCCGGAGGTAGAGCCTGAACCCACCAACTGTGAGGTCATGACCAGAACCAAAGTCAGATGCTTAACCAACTGAGCCACCTAGGAGAGTGTGAATCTCTCCTGTAAGGAGAACATGAATTACAAATACTGTCTGAAACAGAAGTAAATGAGAATGCTACCAAAATTTTATAAAGGAGTCCAAACTCACAAACACTACTTTCAAATTTCTCTGCAATAAAATTCCAACGTACTTCTACAACTTGATCCCGAATGACTCTTCTGCCGCCAATTTCCTATGGTTAAATATTTATAGACTATTTTTCTATTTCGTGTCCTAATTCCAACTTAGGGTCTTTCAACTTTGGGATCAAGGAGATCCATCCACAGACACAAGGAACACACCTTGGACTCAAATACCACTGTTCCTACTAGAAGTGTGACACAGGACAAGTCACTTATGCTCCTCTGCCTCCATTTCCTCAGCTATAAAATAGAGGTAATAACAGTATTCACTTCATAAGGGCTTTGTGAAAACTGAATGTTAATTTTTATAAAGCCCTCAGGATGAGACTTACCACTCAGCGTTTAACCATTATGACCATTCCTCATGCCCTGTACATAGTCTCCGTGTTTTCCCGACTGTTTAACTGAACACCTTTGTAACGGAAACATTTGCTAATGAATGAAGTTATCTTCTACCACCCAGAAAAAGAAGACGAATGTTAAGTTCTGTCACGGTGGGGCTTTGTGGCCAGGAACCCTCTTCCAGAAATCAGGAAAGTGGAAAGAAAGGAGACTGAGATACTACAATCTTCTCTGTGGCCCTGGAGAAAACCGCAGAAGATAATCTGTGGGTGACACGCTTTCTTAAGAAACGAGTCACAAGTAGTCCTGGCACAGCCTCCTTTCCCGTACAGATCAGAAAGAGCCAGGGGCACTTCGAATATCTTCCAGAGACATAACTTTTCTGATCACTATTACAGAGTTTATATTCACAGAGAACACCTTGCCACACGGCTGAACTGCTTTAAACATGTTACTTGTACGATTCCATTAATTCTCAAAACAAATGTGTAAGGTAGGTATTCGTCATATCCCCGTTTGCAAAAAAGGAAACTGAGGCACAGAAAGATTAAGTTCGAGGAGAGTGCGGAAGGTGAGCTGGGCAGCGCGGAGCTGGGAGACTCTCAAACCCTGCGAATCTAGGTCCGCCTCCAAGCCGGGGTGGGGGCACCCGCGAACCGCCCCAAAGCACAGGCTAGGGCGAGGGGACGGGAAGGCTGGCGGCTGTCCCCGTCCCTCAACCTTGCTCTCTGCCGCCGGCCGAGGCTTTTCCTCCCCCATGACCCAGGACCTGGCACGGCTGATTCCACTACCAGATCAAAGAGTTAAAAGAGGTCGCGGGGTCGCGAGCATCACTCACCTCCCGGAGAGAAAGGAAGGCCGCGATCTTAACCTCCCGCAGCGGAAATACCTCCAACAACGCGGAGCTCCTGGACTACATTTCCCAGCATCCCCGAGGGCAACCCGGGCCCCTGTCCGGCCTCCGCGTGGGACGGGAAAGCCGGCTCCGAGACCCACGACCTGAATCCAAGTCCCAGAGTCCACGAAAGGAAAGGGCTTCGCATTCTTGTCCTCCGGTAGCGGAAATGCCTCCGAAAATGCAGAGCACTGTTTTATGCTCTCTTATTTCTCGAGCGGAGGAAATACACCGGCGCTTTCCCGGAGCGGAAGTGCCCCGTCCCAGAAAGCGTGTGGACTACACATCCCAGAATCCTCTGTAGGGCTGAGCTTCCCGCCTGCTTGCAATTTCCTTTTGAATTAGCAGGTGGAGTCTAAATAAGCCCCTGGGTGTTTGTGGAACTTTGTTGACCTATTTTTCCCCTCACTTGTCCCTATCGTATGTGACAGTGTTGGAAATATGAGAAACAAAAGGATAATATTTATAAAGGCATGCTATGGGTTAGGTAAACATAGAGATCATAAAAGGGAAGCTCTGAGCTGCACTCAGCAAACCTTTATTACATGGACCTGGATTCACCTGTGACCAAGAAACCATTAAAAAGGAGATGCAGCCGTCCAACAGGATATGAAACAGAAGCAGCAAAATTTTCCACTTTTCCTTCGTTTTAGGAAAGCCTTTAGGAATTTTTTCTTGCATTGGCAGGGAATTGGAGAAAATATAGTATAGGATAGGGTCCCATCCTATACAATGTCTTTAAAAAAAATCTTTGAATTCAAATTAAGGAATCATATAACTTTTGCTCTATTTAATTGAAATATAATTGACGTACATGTGTAAGGTGTACAACACGTTGATTTGATACATTTACATATTTGCAATATGATTACAGCCTTGCTAACACTTGTAACCTTCTTTAATCATTTCTTTTTTGTGATGAAAACAATTAAGGTCTAAGCAACTTTGAAGTTTGTAATACAGTATTGTTAACTATAATCACTACTCTTTGCATTAGCTCTACAGAATTTCTCCATCTACTGTTTCCAAATTTGTATATTCAAATAGCATACCCCCAATTCCTCCACCACCCCCAGCGCCTGGTAACTATCATTCTATTCTCTGCTTTTATGAATTTGCCTTTTTTAGATTCCACATATGAGATATCATACAGTATTGTCTTTCTCTGACCTATCTCACTCAGCATAATGCCCTAAAGGTGCATCCATGTTGTCCCAAACAGCAGCATTTCCTTTTTTTTTTTTTTTTTTTTACAAATAGTTTATTGTCAAGTTGGTTTCCATAGAACACACAGTGCTCATCCCCACAAGTGCCCTCCTCCACGCCCATCTCCCCCCTCTGCTTCCCACACCTGTGAGTCCTCAGTTGTTCTCAGCATTCAAGAGTGTCTCATGGTTTGCCTCTCTCCCTTTCCCCCACCATGTCCTCCCTTCTTCTCCCCCATGGTCCTCCATTAAGTTCCTCCTAATCCTCCTATAGGTGCAAACATATGATATTTGTTCTTCTCTGACTTATTTCCTTCTTTCTTATGGCTGAATAATATTCCACTGTATATATACCACAAATTATTTGTTGACAGACACTTGAGTTGTTTCCATATCTTGGTTTCAAGAAACATGGGAATGCATATATCTCTTCACACTCCTCTATTTTCATTTCCTTTGGTTATATCTCCAGAAGTAAAATTGCTATATCATATAGTACTTCCATTTATAATTTTTTAGGAATCTCTATACTGTTTTCCACAGTGGCTGAACCAATTTACATTCTCACCAACAGTGTGCAAGGTACACAAGTTGTACCTCCACATCTTTACCAACACCTGTTATCTCTTGTCTTTGTGATAGCCATTCTAACATGTGTGAGGTGACATATCATTGTGGTTTTGATCTGCACTTTCCTGATGATTAGCAATGTTGAGCATCTTTTCATGTACACGTAGGCCATTTGGATGTCTTCTTTGGAAAAATGTCTGTTTAGTTCCTCTGCCCATTTTTGAAAATCATATTATTTGTTTGTTGTTGTTTTTGTTGAGTTGTATGAGTTCTTTATATATTTAGGGTATTGAGGCCCCTGTGTGGTTCAGTCAGTTAAGCGTCTGACTTTTGATTGGTGTACAAATATCCGAGTCTCTGCTTTCAATTCTTTTGTTTATATACCCAGAAGTGGAATTGATCAATCAAATGGTAATTCTGTTTAATTTTTTTGAGGAATTGCCATGCTACATTCTGGGTATTTTACCCAGTACCATTTTACATTCCAACGTGCACAAGAGTTCCAATTTTTCCACATACATACCCAAAACTGTAATAGCTATCTTCTGATTTGTGTCTCCATGTATACATTTTTAAAATCATTTAAAAAATTTTTAAATTGAAATTTTTATTTTCAATTTCTCTATATCATTATATTTAAAGTGATTTTTCTTGGCGCAACTGGGTGGCTCAGTCAGTTAAGCATCCGACTTCAGCTCAGGTCATGATTTCACAGTTTGTGGGTTCAAGCCCTGCGTTGGGCTCTGTGCTGACAGCTCAGAACCTGAAGCCTGCTTCAGATTCTATGTCTCCGTCTCTCCCTGTCCCTCCCCCACTCACGATGTGTCTCTGTGTTTCTCAAAAATGAAAAAATGTTAAAGAAAAAATTTTAGGGGCGCCTGGGTGGCTCAGTCGGTTAAGCGTCTGACTTCGGCTCAGGTCATGATCTCACAGTTTGTGGGTTCAAACCCTGCGTCAGGCTCTGTGCTGACTGCCAGCTCAAAGCCTGGAGCCTGTTTCAGACCCTCCCCTGCTCATGCTGTCTCTTTCTCTCTCATAAATAAATAAAACATTTAACAATTTTTTAAGAAAAATATTTAATAAAAATAAAGTGATTTTTCTTTTTCTCCAAGTTTTTATTTAAATTCCAGTTGGTTAGGGGCACCTGGGTGGCTCAGTTGGTTAAGCTTATGACTTCAGTTCAGGTAACAATCACATAGCTTGTAAGTTCGAGCCCCATGACAGGCTCTGTGCTGACAGCTTAGAGCCTGGAGCCTGCTTCCGATTCTGGGTCTCTCTCTCTCTCTCTGCCCCTCCCCTGCTTGCGCTTTCTCTCTCTCTCTCAAAAATCAATGAATATTTTTAAAACTTAAAAAAATAAATTAGAGATGGTTAACATACAGTGTAATATTAGTTTTAGGTGTAGAACTTAGTGATTCATCACATATATACAACACTCAGTGCTCATCACAAGTGCCTGCCTTAATACCCATCACTCATTTAATCCATCCCCTACCGACTACACTCCAGTAACCCTCAGTTTGTTCTCTATAGTCAGAAGTTTGTATTCTAGTTTTCCTCCATCTTTTCCCCTCTATGTTCATGTGTTTTGTTTCTTAAATTCCACATATGAGGGAATTCATATGGTATTTGGCTTTCTCTGATTGACTTATTTTGCTTAGCATAATATTCTCTAGCTCCATCCATGTCATTACAAATGGCAAGATTTCATTCTTTTTTCTAGCTGAGTAATATTCGTGTGTGTGTGTGTGTGTGTGTGTGTGTGTCCCACATCTTCCTTATCCATTCATCAATCCATGGATATTTGGGGTCTTTCCATAATTTGGTTATTATTGATAATGCTGAATGCTGCTATAAACATCAGGGTGCATGTATCCCTTTGAATCAGTATTTTTGTTTCCTTTGAGTAAATATCTAGTAGTGCAATTACTGGGTCAGAGGGTAGTTCAACTTTTAACTTTTTGAGGAAACTTCATACTGTTTTCCAAAGTGCCTGCACCAGTTTGCATTCCCAGCAACAGTGTAAGAGGGTTCCCCTTTCTTCACATCATCATCAACACCTATTGTTTCCTGTATTGTTAATTTTAGCCATTCTTACTGGTGTCAGATGATATCTCATTATAGTTTTGATTTGTGTTTCCCTGATGAGGAGTGATGTTGAGCATTTTTTCATGTGTCTGTTAGCCAATCTGTATGATTTCTTTGGAAAAATGCCTATTCATGTCTTCTTCCCCATCTGATCCAGCGTGTCATTCAAAGCCATTGTTTCCTGATTTTATGCTCAGATGATATGTCCATTGATGTAAGTGGTGTGTTAAAGGCCCCTACTATTATTGTATTATTATTAATCAGTACCTTTATGTTTATTATTGCTTTATTTATCTGGGTGCTTCCAAGTTGCGGGCATAAATACTTACAATTGTTAGATCTTGTTTGACTGTCTCTTTTATTATGATATAGCTAGCACCCTTCTTCATCTCTTATTACAGTCTTTGGCTTAAAATCTAGTTTGTCTGATAGAAGTGTTGGTACTCTAGCTTTCTAATGACAACCATTTTCATGATAAATATTTCCCCATTTCCTCACTTTCAATCTGCAAATGTCTTTAGGTCTAAAATGAGTCTCTTATGGGAAGCATATAGATGGCTCTTGTTTTTGTTTTATGTTTTTTATCTTCTAATACTCTATGTCTTTTGATTGGAGTGTTTAGTCCATTTACATTCAGAGTAATTATTGATAGATATGTATTTAGTGCCATTTTATTTCTTGTTTTGTCATTGTTTCTGGAGATTTTCTCTATTCCTTTCTAGTATTTGTCATTTTGGGTCTTCCCTTCCCACTCAAAGAGTCCCCTTTAGTATTTCTTGCAGGGCTGGTTTACTAAACTCCTTTAGTTTTTGTTTGGGAAATTTTTTTTTTATCTCTCCTTCTATTCTGAATGATAGCCTTGATGGATAAAGTATTCTTGGCAGTAGATTTTTCCCATTCAGCATGTTGAATATATCATGCCACTTCCTTCTGGCTTGCCAAGTTTCTGTGAAGAGATCTGTTACTAGTCTTGTGGGTCTTTGCTTATACGTTAGGGACTTCTTTTGTCTTGCTGCTTTTAGGATTTTTTCTTTATTACTATATTTTGCAAATTTAACTACCATATGTCTTGGTGTTGGCCTGTTTTTGTTGATTTTGATGGGAGTTCTCTATGCCTCCTGTATTAGTATGTCTGTTTCTTTCCTGAGATTAGG